CATTTCTGGATCCGCCCCTGGTTGTTGTTACTATTGTTATCATCATCGCCGCCGCCACCACCACGATACAAAGTCATGTGCATATGCGATCCCCACCTCTCTGATATAGACCCCTTCCGCATCACAGAGGAATATACACACTGTAACATGAATACAGCAATAAAATAAAACTGAAATTAACAATAAATCCAGGGCCGGATTTGGGGCCGGTGCCACCCTTCCCGAAAAGAAAGAGTAAAAAATGTTCATTTACTATGGAAATCTGAAAACAGAAATGCAGGCCCTATTTTACGAGCTTGGGAAATCTGATATTGCACTGTTATTCAAATAAACGACTGTTGAATAAATTCCCAATCTAGAGCCTCATTTTGGATGAAACGCCACCCTTGAATTTCTCCCCACCCCCAGCTCCCGTAAATAAATGAACGGAAACAACATTAAGCTTCCAATGGGTCTTTTATTTTGAAGAAAACCAGCCCTCATTATAACTGTCATCTAAGGTGTTAATGCCATTAGCAGCCTGTGTTAGTTCACTTCTTGATAGAAAAAATAATCCAAACCATTTCAAAAATCCCAAGTATGAAAAGTTAAAAAAAATCTCAAGACCCCAAGGCAAGAGTGGATCCAGAGATGTCCGAAAGGTGGGGAAGAGCCGATAGTGGGTGTTGAGTTGCACAAATGAAGAATCTGATCATGCGTACAAGTTTACGAAATGATGAATACTATTATTATCTATTGTTTTAATAATAATAATATTATTAGTTTGTTTTTAAAAATAATGATTATACTGTGGATTTTCTCTGGTTAAAGCAATTGTGTACCTCTTTGTTAAATTATAATTGTGTACCAAACCATAGATGACGCCCTCATTCCACTCTCATCATGACTCTCACTACTCTCAAAATCTGTTTCCACTTAGCAGAAGTATACTCTTGGATTTTTGTGTAATTTATGCACAAATGCAAACTGAGAAAATTGTATAATTCAGAGGCAGTGGCTATTTTCAAACCAGTCTTAAACAAAGACGTAATTCTGATTGGATTGGATGTCCCTAATCAATCTATACACAAAATAACCTCTAATCAAATGTAATGTAACAATAGCCATTGCCTTTAATTTACCAATTTTTTTGGGCATTTTGTAAATTGTTTAACCATATGTGATTTTAGTAAACTAGAAGCAATTAAATATTGAAGCAGATTTGTTAACTATAGTCATACTCACAATTTAATATTTTTTGTTTGCTATTTTGAAGATTGAACAACTATAAAATAATTTTTTCTTTTACTTGAATATTCAAAATAAACATGATATAAGAAATTCATGTCAAGTGTTATTTATTCGCATGTACAGTACCATGTGAACACGATCTTGAGCTGTACTGCACTAAGCCTTGAAGACTCTCCCCCTCCCACTACCAGGGAATTTACCTGACAGTAAACGGTTCAATAAAAATTCACATTAGGCCTAAAGTACATTTTTGTGGAAAAGCTAAATTGCGATGATATGTAGAATGGTTAAATGTATAAAAAAGAACAATAACATTCAAAAGAATACTGGAATGGACAAACATTACGTTTTAGATAAATATAGTTTCAATTTAAAAGACATCAAAATTAAATTAGAAAAATTACGACTGAGGCTTTAGTCTCCTTCTTGGTTTGTTCCCTTTATCGGACATGTTGGATCCCCTGTCAAAAATTTCTTGAGCCACAGCTGCTGAACAAATTTGAAACAACAGACTGATAGCCAGTGGCATAATTACAACAGGTTTATTGAACCTGGGCCTCCGAGCTCCACGTGCACCGATATATAAGGATCCTGCTTCCTTGAAAAAAGTCTGTCTTGCAACAATTAACAATTTTCAGAGGAGGACAAAATGTTATGCTGAAAGCATTTAAGCAGAGAAAAAATAAATATATATATACAACTTTTTTACAGCTTGTTTTCCGAAACTATTTTCTTTAAAGATCAATATAGAGAAGAGCGGAAATATGAAATAGAATTTTGTTTTCTTATTTAGCCAATTTGTTTGGCCAAAAAGATCCAAATGAAAAAATAAAAATAAAATTGCATTGGCGAATGTAAACAGTATAGTAATGGGATGGTTAAATCATGGAGGAATTCCTCCATTATTAAATGCTTTACATTATATAACTGAAGAAATATACATATCTTATTTTTAGAAATTTTAAGGCAGTGGCGGGCGTAATAAAAAAAATAGAGAAACACTTTTTTTCTGGAATTTCCTTATTTTTACATTTTTTGGCAAATTAGGTGTGTTAATTCGGCCGAAAAAGAAAATTTTTGTTTTATTCAAAATCATCATAATGGGCGGGCGGCAGGTTTGCTAAGGTAATGGTTTTGTCTTATTGGCAAATTAAAAAAAAAATTGTTAGTAGTAGTTGGCTTGCGAAACAAGGTACTGCATAAGAAGGTTTTACCATTCCCGATCAATCAACAGTACCCTTGTTGTTTATATTTAAGTCTACTCTTTATTAGAATTTGGTGAGTGAGTTTTTAAATTGTGCAATGAACAATGGATCCTTATCTGTTAAAGCTCTGTCTATCAAAATTTATGTGACAATTGTGATGTGTCCATATATGGGCATGATGATGTCATATTACATCCAAATATGGGCATGTGACATTTACTTGTCACATAAAATTTGATAGTGTAGACACAGCTTGAGATTTGATCTTGATCAGCATCGCTTTTTCTGGAGAACACAGCTCAAGACTCAATATTATTGTGATGACAGAAAATGAAATTATTTATTTTATTCTTTCTTGCAATCAAAAAAAGTACAAAGATACTTTACCGAAAAAGTAAAACAAAATACAGAACAAATTGCAAGGAAAAATAACAATAAACTCAAATTAATGCCAAGGAATAACCAATTAAGCGACAGAGCCACTGTCACCATTACAAAATATAAGATATGGATAATAGAAAAAAATTATCAAAAATAATTACAACAAAAAGAATGCATAAATTATGCAAATACAGTATTATTATTGTATGTGATTATAATAAATTATTATTACAGTAATTAAATTTATGTTATTATAATGAATTTATTAATGACATTTAGGGGATTTTAAATTTTTAAATCAATTTCTTATTTTACTTTTAAACAAAAAAGATGTGAGAAAAATGAAAAAAATTTCCAAAGGTCTGTAGAAAGACTATTCCAAGTTCGGCCAAATTAAATTGGGATACAGTATTTTGAAGTGTCATTCTGAATGTATAAGTATTTGAATGTTTGTTATTATTAACCAATTTTTGAAAATATTTAAAAAAAAAACAAATTTGCAGACATAAAATTGTAAGATTATCTCTTAAGTGAAGAAATTGTCAATATTTTATTTATTTTTATTTCATTCAATTTCCAGGTAACAATCCAACAAAAATATAACAATGAGAATACAATATCCTGAGGATTACCGTGAGTGCAAGCACTACACTATCAGAGAGCAGCTTTCCATATTGCGTCCTTACGTACCGTGTACAGTACTAAACGTTAAAACTACAAATTAGATATTTAAATGAAATGCTAACATTTTATGATAAAATTCAGTAAGAAACAATTACAATAAAATATTTTAAAATTGTTAACAAAATAAAATAATATTATACATTAAAACTGCTGAATTAACTAAACAATATTTAGTTAAGTTCATTAAGTTATTAGATGATGACTTTCCACACCTGGTGATGAGCCCGGATTTTGTGAGCCATGTGCGTGAAACCCTGAAATATCTGATTCTACACCCTCGACCTTGGCCTGACCTATTCCCAGGGGGAGGGGGGTCAACCAAGATAGTATAGAAAGATGGACATGGATGTGGGTGAGGATATGATAATATGAGGCGTGCATTCCAAAAACCACTAGGCCTACGACTTCGATCAAAAAGTTGCCTATCAAAATAACGTTGTTTTGATTACCAATCCGTAATATTGAGGTCTAAAAGCACATTTTGGACCACAATAAGCCATAAAAACTCCCCTGTGAACCCTACCCCCTTGTCGTCAAAATTCTGGCGCCGCCATTGCAATAAATCTGCTCCAAAATATGTTTGTCATGTTTTATTTAAAAGTTGTTTTTAACTATATATTGACCAATTTATTCAGTAAAATTACTGTTTAAATAAACGCCCGTTAAAAAATGTCCCCTAGAACCTCTTTTAGATTAAACGCCTCCCTTCTTGAATAAATGGCCCATGCGTTTTATTTTCCTTCGAATAAATACCCTTCTCCCCCCACAGTACTCCACCACCCCACTATCACTTCTAAACGACTATAAAAAAAAAAATCCTGATTCAAATCTAAGTAAATATTTGTTAAATATTGTACATTGTGCTGTCACAGTGCTGTTGTGTTTTTTTTGTTTTTTTTGTTTTTTTTAAACAGTTGCTCCAGATTTCAGTTTAGGCCTGTTTATCATATACATGCACCACACATTTTTTCAATATTAAAAATGAAAGAACTGTTTTCTTGGCAGCTTGATGTACTGGCATTGAAGTTTATCCAGCTTTATATTTTTCTGCACCTGCCCCTCATTGAATAAAACATATCTAACGGAAACAACATTAAGCTTCCAATAGGTCTTGTATTTTGAACAAATATACAGCCCTCATTCGTACTCAACTATGATGTTATAAGGCCATTGGCAGCCTATTTGTTCACTTCTTGATAGAAATAATTATAATTTCCATACCATTTCAAAAATCCTAAGAATGAATGAAAAGTTAACAAAAAAATCACAAGATCCCAAGGTGTCAATAAAAATCCCAATATCAATAGTGGTCACACTGGTGTTGAGTTGCACCAATGATGACTCTGATCATGCGTACAAGTTGACGAAATGATGAATACTGTTTTAATAATAAAAAACCTTTTAATAATCTTTCTTTGATATTAAATAGCTATGAAATAAACAGTTAGAAACTATAGAGGGCGTGCTACCGCGTTTGATATCCCCAGTGTTTGTCGTAAAAAAAATCCGGAAAGCGCGCATAACCCAAGAGGAAAGCAAAGCACGTCGGTCTTGCACAATGGCATTGCACGATCTACAATGTTATTAGTCTAAGGGCCTACGAATGAAGCAGGATTAGCTTAAAAAAGTTATCTTCAGAAAGAGTACGTGAGTGTTTTGTATTAATTTTAGAGACAGACACGCATCCTTCTCTAGTGAGTAGGCATTTGTTAACTGATTAATCTTTACTGTTCCATAATATTAATAATAGGCCTTCGTATGCACTTTTGTACTCCACCCTAACCTTAATCTCAACTCCAGCATTGCTATCTTAGTTAAGGTTAGGGAGGGTGGAGTACCAAAGTGCATTAGCACAGTTCTAGTCATTTCAGATCTCAGTAGTTCATTTCACAGAAAAATAATCACCAAACACTAAAACAAAGGTATGGCATTTAGCCACGCATATTGGAAAAACCAAATGCTAAAAATAGTCATGAAATTGATATTTGGAAAAAACCAAATGCTAAAAATAGATTACGGTCGGTGAATACTTGAAAAACAGATCAAACCAACAATAGGCCTACAATTATGCCTTTTTCACGAATCGGTAGACATCTTGAAGTGATGACAAACATTGCGAATCAGCGGTGCGTAACCAACAGAAATAAGATAAGCTTTTGGGCGGATTTTTTGACAGCATGTTATTTAAAAAATCATAACTCTATAACGGGGCGTCGTATCCAAAAAAATGTTCAGCAAAATGTTCTTAAAAGACTAGTCTACACCACTATATGATTGAAAAAAAAATTGAAAATTTTTTTTGACCTCTGAAATCAAGATTGAAAAAGAAAAGCCTATCTTAGTAGTGTATTAAAATAGGCCAATGCATTACAGTGCAGTAGCATAGGACTTTGGTGTTGTTACTGTTCCAAGTAGCGATAATATACATATTTCTTTTATTACAAAGTACAAGTTATGGCGCTAATGCACTTTAGTACTGTAACACTTCTATCTTCAAAAATTGTCTTTTTACCTACTGTGCGCTCCTAACAATATCTTACGATTCTTTTTCATCCAGTTCTCTCACTAATTACACCACTTTTTCGCATTTTATTACTAAAAACAACGTTCTTTCCCAGCGATTCATGACGGTAGCGACTCGCGACGTTTGTTTATAAATAATTAATTGCCAGATTGTTATCCAATTTTAAGGACAGCTCTGTTCGTTGCCAGGTTTGATTTTTTCCCCCATTTTGTTAAAAGAGGTGCGTTTTCATAAATTGTTATTTGTATTTTTTATCTGTATTGTTTATATCGTTGTTCTGGTACAGCGCAATATTAATAATGACATATTACATTTAGGGACAACAGCTATTATTTCGTCGGGGAAATCTGACCCCTCGTCGGGGCATCGCTCTCCCCCCCCCCACCCGAGGCCCTAGGCGGCCCCAGACCTTCAAATAATGGGTCGTGGCAGCGAAAATGTCACGGGTCTCGTGGCCGCTCTTGGCGGCCCTGTTGACGGTAATTAGTATGACCGAATTTGAGCAAACAATAATTATCACACATAGCACCTTTATTACATTTAGACCCAAAACTTATTACAATTAGAACCTTTATTACATTTAGACCCAAAAGGATTTCACATAGGACCTTTATTACATTTAGATCCAAAACTTATTACAATTAGAACCTTCATTACATTTAGACCCTAAAATTATTACACATAGGAACTGTATTACATTTAGACCCAAAAATTATTACAATCAATCAACCATTTGTCAATCATGGCCATTATTACACTGCATTTAGGACATTTAGTCCCAAAAATTCTTAGAACCTTTATTATATTTAGACACAAAAATTATTACACATAGGA